CATAGATACATCAGAGCTCCTCCCTGCTCTTGGGCAGCTCCCAGCCTGGTGGGGAGAGATGTGTAACCTGCAATCAAGGCTGTGATGAAAGAAGCACCAGGACTGTGCCAGCACCAAAAAGGGCCCCTAGTCCAGCCCAGGGGACTTGCTGGAGAAGAGGATACATGTGCTCTGTCTTGAAGGATGAGAGAATGAGTGGGCAGGGAACAGCAGGCGCAGAGGCACAGAGGCAGGGAACCCGTGTGTGTGAAATTGCACACAGCTGAGTGTGGATGGAGGGCCATGCAGGGAGTGGTGGGAGATGGGGTTGGAGAGGCTATGGTGGTGGTGGCAGTGCCAGTGGACTTTATCCTGCAGGTGAGGGGAACCATGGTGGAAGGAGCAGGGACATGGGAAGGGTATATTCATGACTCCGATGGCTCTCCCAGACCCATCCCAGGAAACATTTGGTTGTTTGCATGACCACAGAAGGTTTCTGTCCTGCCTCTTCCATCAGACTATCAGCATGACACATTCTCTCTCTCTCTTTTTTTTTTTTTTTTTTTGGAGACAGAATCTTACTCCGTTACCCAGGTTGGAGTGCAGTGGTGCCATCTCGGCTGACTGCAACCTCCGCCTCCCGGATTCAAGAGATTCTCGTGCCTCAGCCCCTCGAGTAGCTGAGATTACAGGTGTGAGCCACCACACCCAGCTAATTTTTGGATTTTTAGTAGAGACAGGGTTTCTCCATGTTGGCCAGGCTGGTCTCAAACTCCCGACCTCCTGTGATCCCCATGCCTGGGCCTCCCAAAATGCTCAGACTACAGGCGTGAGCCACCATGTCCGACCTGACTCTTATTTATAACATAATTAGGACCTTAAAATAATGTAAGGAAAAAGAAACATAGAATGTTTTTACCATAGAGTTTGAGAATCTCAGACATCCAGAAGCATGCCACTGGAGGCGTCCCAGCCAGCGCCCCAGGGAAGACTGGGAGAGGGATGTGGTGCCTCACCCTGGAGGCCCCTAGCCCATACCTGAATGCAGGCCAGCCCTCATGCAAACGGGCACGTTGGGTGCATGCCTCATCCAGAAGTCACCCACAGAGCTGAGGATATCCAGGGCCATGTTGTTGATTTCAGCGACATGCTGACTCCCATTGTGCTGAGGCAGCCCCGACACCACCATGTAGGCATCCCCAGTGGTCTCCACCTAGAAACAGCAGCCTTCACACTCCAGCATGAGAACATACCCTCCCTGGCCCACTGCACATCCTACTACACATGGCTGCTTCTTGGGAGTCCCAACCCGCCCCGTGGGTCTCTGGCCCGCAGTGCCATCTTTGCTAGGCCTCCAGTTCCAGGCACTTTAGCAACGATTGGATCTGTACATTTCAGATCACCTTTGTCTGTATTCCAGGCAACAATGGCTCTTTTTTTTGTCTCTGGCCTCAGGCCCTGAGCTCCTTGGTGGCAGACCTGGGTACCCCATCTGTTCAAGGCCATAGTGGCACATCAGGGATTAATTTGGAGAGGACTGTATATATTTAGAGGACGCTTCCCATTTTCCAAACCCTGCTGGCCTTCCAAAGGTGTACTAGAAAGAATGTAGGTTTTGGAATGAGACAAATGTAGGTTCAAGCCCTGGCTCTGCCATTTACCTGGACAACTTCACCTGGGTGAGCCTCAGTTTCCTCTTATGTGGAATGAATGTTAGCGGTGAAGTATTTACAGAAGCAGGCATACCAATGCTGAATACACAGAGGCTGCTGTCGTCCTCCTCCTCATCATTACGGTTTTGGAATCTCCTAACTGGAAGGGGCTTTGCTAGTCTCCCACCCAATTTCCCCCACCCCAATGGCTGTTCTCGCTGACTCACATCCCTTGATAGGAAAGTTTCTCCTTCTTCAGTAGCCACTTCTCTCTTTAGGCAACTCTGATTTTCTCCTTCCTTCCTTCCTTCCTTCCTTCCTTCCTTCCTTCCTTTCTTTTCTTTTCTTTCTTTCTCTTTCTTTCTCTCTTTCTTTTCTTTCTTCTTTCTTCCTTTTCTTCTTTCTTTCTTTCTGTTCTTTCTTTCTTTTTCTTTTTTTCTTTCTTTTTTCTTTCTTTTTTTTTTTTTTTTACCAAGGTTGCTCAGGCTGGAGTGCAGTGGCATAATCTCAGCTCACTGCAACCTCCTCCTCCTGGATTCAAGTGATTCTCATGCCTCAGCCTCCAAAGTAGCTGGGACTACAGGCGTGAGCCACCATGCCTGGCTAATTTTTGTATTTTTTGTACAGATGGGGTTTCACTATGTTGGCCAGGTTGGTCTTGAACTCCTGACCTCAGGTGATCTGCCTGACTCAGCCTCCCAAAGTCCTGGGATTACAGGTGTGAGCCACTGCCCCCGGCTGTAACTCTGATTTTCAAAACTTGAGTTGAGTTAAAACCTGCCTTTCACCAGTTGGTTCCAGCTCCACCCCCTGAACTGTACGCGTATACCTTTCCTAAGCACATTCTTCTGTTCCTAAGGCCCTGTTTCAGGTGCTCGGAACACAGATGTGAAAGAAGCATAGCCTTCTCCCCTGCCACAGGCCAAGCCTGCCAGGGTGAAGACAGCAACTCTACCCTCTGAGTCTTTCCCGGCTCCTGTACTGTTCCTCCTAAAGCAGGCACTTGTTGGCTTCACCAGTCCTGGGCAGCAGAGCCTCCCCTGCCAGGCACTTCTGCACTTAGCATCTGGTGCACAAGAATAGTGATGCACCACCGCCCATAGGGGGCGCTGTAATTCAAAAAATTTCTCACGCGACTCGCAAGTGTGGACTGTGCCCCACTACCAACGCCCACATGGCCCTGTGATCTCTCCCTCATCCCAGCTATCCTCCACCGCACTACCAAAAGGTGATCTGCCCTAATCACATCACATTCCTCTCTGATATGCACTTCAGTTTGCTCCCTATGGTCGGTGGCTTAAAATTCAGGCCCCCTGGCCTAGCTATCAAGGGCCTCTTTCATCTGCATGATTGCCTGACGTTTTCTAACAGTTGCTTCTGGTTCCCCACGCTTCAGCCAGACGGAAACCTTTTCTACCATTTCAAGAGACACCCAGTGCTTGCTCACCTCGAGGCCTGGAGCACCAGATCCCTCTGCCTGAAAAACTCTCCCCAGTCTCTATCTGCTGAAACCCCACCCCTCCATCGGTCCCGCTCACACGCCATCTAGGGCACAGAATCTTACCAGTCCCCAGCAAGAAAGCTGTCTCCCTCCTCTGGGCTGTGGCCTGCTCTCCCGCCCTGTGGTCTGCCTGCTGCTGTCCACCCAGCATTCATGGACTGGTGGTAAGAGTGGCAGGGGTGGTGGCAGGGCTGCCCCAAGCTGTGCACCTTTCCACAAAAGAGATTTTCCACTCCACTCCCCAGGAGGGAAAATCATGAGAGACTCCTGGCTTTCCCTGCTCTCTCTTCTTCCTCACTGCAGGAGGAGGAATGCCTTACTTGATAGGCAAGACTGGAAAAAGGACTAAGTGCCTCTTAAACACTCATATGGTGCTTACTATGTGCCAGACACAGTCCCAAAGCCTTTACAATTATGAATGCATTGGATGGTCACAAGAATTCTGGGATATGGGTACCATTACTAAGGCCATTTTGCAGGTGAAAACTGGGTCAGAGGCATGAAGTCCCTTGCCAGGGTCACTTGCAGCCAGTGCCTGGGTTTGAACTTGGTCAGTCCAGTTCCAGAGTCTGTGCACTATGCTGCCTCTTGCTGCACATAACTTGGGCCCTTTCTCTCTCTCTTTGAGGAGGTTCTGCTCTCACCCTGCCTGCTGGGTGTGCAGCTGTGACACAGGGAGGGTGCACCAGCTCTGGGGACCCAGCCCTGCCTCAGATGTGTGACCCCACAGTCCAGACTAGGGGAGAGGAGTAGAAAGCCCCACAGTGGCCATACAACCAGAACACATTCTCTGATCTGCTAAAGCTGATCTCTAAGCTGCTGACCTGCCTGATGCCTGAGCTGGAAGGGAACGTGCAGGGTGATTAACATTCACTCCTTAACCCTAGAGACAGAAAGATGACCAGGCACAGGCATGTTCTCCAGGGACTCGTAAAGGTGATGTACTCAAAGTTGCCTATCATAGTGGGCTCTCAGCTGAAAGTGAGGCAGTGGTTCCCTTCACAGATGGGAGAAACAGCCAGGGGAGAGGTGCAAGCAAAAGGTCCCTACTATCAAACGCAGATGTGAATTCTAATCCCACCACTGACTTGCTGTGTGACCCCAAGTGAGTCATTTACCCTCCCTGTGCCTGCGTCCTCATCTATACAGTAAGGATAGTAATCCATACCTCTGACAGGCACTGAAAGGGTTAGATGAGATCAGTTGTGAAATTTCCCCAGCCAAGTGAGCACTCTGTAGGCGATTAACTAATGCTGTCCCTTCCCTCTGTGCTTTCAGGGATGCCTCAGCATCTGGCATGTGGCAGGTGCCCAAGGGTAAGGTGATGACTCAATGAACCATGGCGCTTTCTCTCACATTCCTTAATCTGCAGAGCAATCCTATACCAGAGACACTTTCATCCCTGTTTTATAAATGGAGTACTGAGGCTCAGAGAGGTGACATGCCCAGGGTGGCTTGGCAATAGGGCCAGGGCAAGACTTACGCCTGGCTGAGCCACAGGTGGGGCTGAGGCCTTGCCTCCGCGACAGTCCCCAGTGGCTCCGCTCTGGAGTCATGTCCATGAAAGTGCACACTCAGCGAGCGCGGGAGGGAATCGCAGACCCCTGCGAAACCAGGAAATGATTGCCTGGCTGCCTCCCAACCCAGACCGGATTAAAGAGCAGTAACCAGATCCTGTTGGGGATGAAGGGGAAACCGAGGCGGATGACATGAGTGATGAGAGATGCTCGCACATCATGAAGAAGGGGCCTCCTCTTTCCCCACATCTGGAGGGTTGTGTGGGCCTTGTTTGATTTCATTTCATTCTGCCAGAAAGATGCAGACCTCCTGGCCAGAGTTCAGAGCAGTCAGAAGGGATGATTCAGAGCCAGGGGACACATGTGTGAGGAAAGATTAGCAGCGGAGGAAGAGATGAGGCCAGGGTGACTCAGGGCAGATCAAAGCTGTGGGGCTCAGCGAGATGAGATGAGGAATCTTTTCCTGGGGCTGTGGGGCCAGGGTGACTCTGGAGGCAAGAGGGAAACTCAGGAACGCCTTGGAACTGCGGGCCAGGGCGGGGATCTAAGGTCCTGAATGGGGAACAGGAGGGAAGCTGCACCCTTGAGTGTCGGTGGCGCAGGTCCTGTGGGTGCGTGTCGGTCAGTATGGTGCAGTGGATGGAGCACCGTGGTGGATGCCGTAGGTTCCTGTTCTGGCTTTGCTGCTGGCCAGCTGTGTGACCTCAGGCGGGTCACTTCCCTCTCTGTGCCTCAGTGTCCTCCTCATTCTGTCAACACACATTTCCTGAGGATCTATGATGTGCTGGACACTGCCAGCCACTGGGAAGTGATTCAGGGTGGAACCATAAAATGCAATGTAGGGGGAGTTATGCAAGCATCAAACAGGCACCCCTAACTGTGTCTGGGATGGGGGGAAGGCTAACCTGAGACCAGACACATGGCCAGAAGGGAGCTAGGTGAAGAGGAGGGTAAGCACTGCTCCAGGAGGAGAAACAGAGGTACCAAGGCCTGGGGGCTAGAGACAGCGAGACATGTGTGAGGATCCAGAGGCCTGCAGAGGTGGAGACACAACTGGGGAGGTATGTGGGGCAGCTCCTGGAGGGCTTGTGGACCACTATGAACCCGCAGCTTTATCCTGAGGATGTCTATCTCATGGGGATGGTGAGCCTCCCCGACCACGGGCCTTTGGACCACCATAACCTGGCTCAAATCTTGGCCTCAGATCCCACTGAGATTATGTTAACAAACAAGCCACTTAGCCTCTGTTGCCTCATTTTCTTCATATATAAATTAGCAGTACCAGTCCCTACCTCATAAATTGTTTTGCTGAATAAATGGGCTAATACATATAAAGCATTTAATACTAGCATCCAGTATACACTAAACCCTCAATAAGTGTTGGCGATTATGGTTGTTGGGATACTATAAATAATGCTATCAGCAGATTGTCTGGTGTCTCAGAGTTCATCGTGTCCTCGAAAAATTCCTCCCAAGGCATCCTTTTCAATCTGGCTCCAGCCCTCGGGGCCTGGCCGTCCCCTGTCCCTGCCTTTGTGGAGGGCTGTGGCTGGACAGGCTGGTGAGTCACAAATTAGGGCTAAGGCCAATAGAGCCTTGGCGTGGTGTTTCCTGGGACCTCCCTCCATATCTTCCCCACCATGTCTGAAGCTGCCCCTAGACCCCCTGGATCAGAACAAGGGGCAGCGTTGGGGTTGGAAGGTCCCCACAGCACGGGTAGAATGGAGAAGTGGTGGGCAGGAGGTGCCTCCCTTTCACACTCCGTGCTTGACATCCACTTGTGCATGGGGGGCAGGATCCTCCCATCCTCTGTGAGCCCTCCCAGAGCTGTGGTCTCCATTCCTGTTCACAGTCAAAGAAACAGAGGCCCAGAGAGGGGAAGCTGTTTGCCCAAAGCCACACAGAAGCTGGTGGCCAGGCTGGGACTCAAACCCAGGACTGAGAGGTGCATAGGGAGGGGCTTGAAGGCCCTGCTGAGGCCTCTGTTGTCCTCTCCAGTGCCTCCAGCTCCCCACTCCTGGCCCATTCATGCCCAGTCAGCCCAGCTTATTCAGCTTCCCCACACTCACCAGGCCCTCTGAAGCCTCAGGCTTTCGCACATTTTTCACCCATTGCCTGCCTGGGGCTGCCACTCCCAGATGGGACAATGCTGGGAAGACAGCACCTCTTCCAGAAAGTCTTCCCTGCTCTTTACACATCTACCCCTAGCTGGGTTGGGGCCCTCTCAGCCTCCTCCGCCTTCCAGGATTATTACTTTCACTGCGGGTCATCATCTTTTACCTATAGGACTGAGCGCTCCTTGAGCATAGGAATGGGAGCTGAGTCACCTGTCTGCTCATGCCCAGCACAGGGTCAGGCACAGAAAAGCCTGCTGATAAGATTGTAAAGGGATGAATAGACAGACAATGGACAAGTAAACACTGTGGTCTATTAAATGCAAAATGGCCCACATCCTTCACCCGCTCCATGTTCACCCCATTGCAACGAGACTGAAGCTTCTCCCATCAAGAGGTGGACTTTGTTTCCTCAGCTCTTGAATCTGAACTAGTCTTTCATTTTGACCAATAGAATACATCAGAAATTGTAATATGCCTGATCCGAGATTAGATCTCAAGAGCCTTGTGTACTTCCGTCCTCTCTCTCAGAACCCTGCCATATCATGTCAACAATCCCGGACTAGCCTGCTGGAGGAAGATAGGCTGCGGAACAGAACTGAGTTCTCTTGGCCAAGGCTCCAGAGACATGAGAGAACCCAACTGAGATCAGCAGAGCTGCCACCTCACCCATAGCTGACCACAGATGCATAAGTGTGTCCAGAAGAACCTTCTGGTGGCCCCATAGGCTTGTGAACAATAGTAAATGCTTATCATTTTACCCTATTGAGTTTTTGGGGGGGTATTTATTACACAGCAATAGCTAGCTGATACAAACACATAAATAAATGAATGGAACTAAATGTACCACCAAGACACAGTAGTAAAGGGAGGAATGGAATGCCAGCCTCCTGGTATTCTCACCTTACACACGTCATGGCTGCCCAGAACAGCATCAAACAGCATGTAGGGATAGTTGCGCAAGCCCACCACCTCAATGGGTTCACTCAGGGCTGAGATGATGGTGAAACCTACAATATTACTGAAGTATATGGTAACCTGTTCCATAGTTACCCCTGTGGTTCCACAGTTACCCCCATTTTCAGAACGTCGGCCACAGACCTGAAGGGATGGGAGGGGCCAGACACATAAGGTATGAGGGCCTATTTTTGACAGTTTAGAGGCTAGGAAGGGATATTTGGGAGGAAACTGTGTTGAGCATCAGCAGATCTGGTACAAGCCCGTTGGTGTGCTGACTGCCCTGGAGTGAATACTTGCCCTGTCTGGACATGACTTCCTGTGAAGTGATATTGGGGTGGGGGAAGCGTTGTGCCTAGCTCCTTGCTCCCAAGGATGTGAGAGAGCAGAAATTCCACTCACGTGCCCAACAGAGTACCTGGCATATGGTGAGGGCTCTATAAAAATATGTTGTATAAGCCATGTGCAGTGGCTCACGCCTATAATCCCAGCACTTTGGGAGGCTGAGGAAGGAGAAACACTTAAGGCCAGGAGTTTGAGGCCAGCCTGGGCAACATAGTGAGACCCTGTATCTAAAATAATAATAATAAACAAAACTAACTAAACAAAGTAATGTGCTGCATAAGAAGAATGTTAGATAAATAAACATGGATGAGTGAATTGAATAAATTCATGGAATCCAGATCTGCTGAGCACCTACTATATTCCAGGCCCTGGGCTTAGAGCTGAGGCTAGAGGTACACTCAAGTCCAGGGGCCACTCACAGGGGAATCACCTGACAGAGCAGCCTTTCTGTCTTCTCTCTCTTCAGCTCCAGTTCCTCAGTCTGCTCCTGGATCAGGTCCTCCAGGTTCTGGGAATATTTCTGCAGCAACCGCAGCATGGAGTCAGCAAAACTGGTCTCCTTGTCTTGGTTGATGCTTTTGAACTGAAGATGGAACAAAAATGCCAAAATGACATGAAAGTCAGCACACCTGGTCCTCAGCTGGGAGTCTAGGGCCACGGAAATGCACCAAACAGAATCCCCGCTTGAAGGAGCTGCATTGTTGTGGGGAACAGATATGTAAATGACAGGGGGACGGTGGCTCTGACAAGGGAAAAGTGCAGTCAGCTTTGTGTCAGATTAATGGGTTAATTTTGTGTAGGAAGGGCAGGCAGCAAGAGGACTTTGCAAAGGAGCCTGTACCCAGCACAGCATTATGGTTAACAAACACAACCCTCTTGCACTGGGTCTCACAACAACACTGTGAGATTCTTTGTTCTTCTCAAAGATAGACAGACAGACAGATAGATAGAGAGATAGATAGATAGATAGATAGATAGATAGAGAGATAGATAGATAATAGACAAACAGATGGATGGACGGACAGATGGACGGATGGATGGATGGATGGATGGATGGATGGATGGATGGATAGATGGATGGATGGACAGATGGAAGGGTAGGTGGATGGATGGGTGGATAGATAGAAAGAATATATGTAGATTATTTATATGTATAATCTATCTCTATTTCTACTTTGTTCCTCCAAAATTTTAAGGATGAAGAAGAATAAAAGCAGTACCACACAATAAAAGAATAAACATATGCAGATATTAGGACCAAAGGAGAGTAAAGGCTTTTTTTTTTAAAAAAAAAAAAGACAAATCTAGGACTGAAATCTGTATGCCAAATCCATGCTAGAATTTGGTCACTATTTTGGATATGAACTTCCTAGCAACAAAACAAAGAGGGAAATATAGATTACACAATCCATGGGGTCCATAAGACAAGGGAACATTAAACTAATTGCTCAAAAGAAATACAACTACTCCTAGTGCCAAGCAAAGAAATCTGGCAGCAGTTTTCCTAGGAAGACTTGCCAGAACCTTACCCAGTGTTGCTTGCACCTTCCCAGAGTGCAGTCAGTAGGAGAAGCAAATCAGTGATGGTCAAAGTGAAGGGGCTCATGCTTGTCAAAATCCAGCATCTTGAACTTGTGAGTGTGTGTGTGTGCTCTGTGTGTGTGTGGGTATGCACATCCAATCTCCATTAATGCCACGTCTCTCAACCAAATGTCTGCAAGGTAGGGAGTGGCAGCAGCCCTGAAGTGCACCTATTTTGTATTGTCCAAGAAAAGCAGAGGCACAAGCTTTACGGGGTGGGCATGACAGCTGCTGACCCTGAGACACCAACAAGGACCTGAAGCCAACTCCAAGGTCACCTCTGCGTGGAAGGTCATCATTTCATAAATGAAGAGACAAAGGATCTGAGAGGTGGAATAACTTGCCAAGGAGCACACAGTGGTGGATCTGAGTTTCAAACTAAAGTCTTTTATATTAATTTTATCACCAGCCCTCCCCACTGAATTATTTTATCATTTGGAATTATACATATTTCTTCTTCCTTTGCAATATTAATTTTCTTGTCTAATTGCATTGGCTACTACTCCTAGAACAATGTGAAATGAATATAAACCTAAGCTTTTTTTTTTTTTTTTTTTTTTGGACAGAGTTTCACTCTTGTTGCCCAGGCTGGAGTGCAATGGCATGATCTCAGCTCACCACAACCTCTGCCTCCCTAAACCCAGGCCTTTTGGCGTTAATGTCAGTGTTCCTTCTCTTGTACCTTACTCACTCTCTCCTTCTCAAAGAGCTACATTTAAAAAAAATTAGTTATCTCACTGGATGGTCACACCTATCTGGAGAGTTAGGCCAGGGTTAGTTATCTTTCCAGGAAACATACAGGGAGGCTGAGGCCCAATAGGAACATTAACTTGTCCAAGGTCAAACAGTGGGTAAGTGGGATGATATCCACTGGATTCTCACATAGATGTGAATCCAGGCATCTGACCCCTCACTTCCCCACAGTATGATGCCATTTCCCCCTTCTTCAGGCTGAATTCATGTGTGCCCATCTCAGCCTTGTTTGCTGTTGGGCCTTGGGCAGGAATCTTGGGCAAGAATCCCACAGTTCCCCCTCAATCAGGGCAAGAGCTCTTCCCCACCTCACGGCCATGGCAACCTCTGATCCCCTGGAAAGATCCCAGGCTGGTGCTTTATAAACTGGTTGCTCATCCTAGTGCTGCTACCCACCATTATGGTGACTGCTTAGAGGTCATTTACTGTGAGCTCCAGATTTCTCATCTGTGGAGGGGGGCACCACCCCTGATGCCAGAGCTAAGTGTGGAGGGGGTGTGGAAAGAGAGGTGATGGGCAGGGCTTCTCAAAGGACACCTGCGTGCGTCTCCTTGGACTGCCTTGCTGCCTCTCTCCCTCTCGTCACCTGTCCTAACCCCTTTATTGCTCCCTAAACTGCTCCTTGGCAACTTTCCACCACAGCTGGGGAGTGGAGGATGGGGAGGGGAGGATGGGGAGGGGAGGCACAGTCCCCTTGGGTCTGATGGGTTGGCCCCATGGAAGCCATCAGCCAGCTTGGTCATGTTCAATCCACTGCTCACTCACACATTCCACTGCTGCCCTGCCAGCTTGCACAGACTTGCCTTGCCCCTCCCACTGAAATCCCCAAGGCAGTCCTGGGGGTGCCCCAGGGCCCCTCACATTTTCCCCTCACTGACTCAGGAAGTAGTACTGTCTCCACAGCCACAATGGCCTCTCTCCTCTGGTGCCAGGAGGCCTGGTACAAGGTGGAGTTGCTGGCACAGCTCTGCAGACAGACAGACCTGGGTTGGACTCCAGCCCCACCTTTCACTCACTCGGTTATCTTGGGCAAGCGCCCCCGCCTCTCCAGGCCTCATTTCTCTCCCATGAAGCCAAGAAACTAACACTGTTTCTTCAGAGGGCTGTGGCGAGGATGAAAGGAGGGAAGCATGGCCCTTAGCGTGGGGTTTGACACTCAGGAAGGCAGGGGATAAATGTCCCTGGAACCGGTGGTCCTGAGAAAGCTCTCCTTAAAGGGCGGACCTCAGGGGTGACAGCACTGGGCAGTTGCCTCTTACTGCAAGACTTTCCAGGTCCCAGGGAAAGCACAGGGCTTGCAGTAGGCTAAGTGAGCTGAACAAATGTGCCATTTTTTGTGAGCACCCACTCCTCTGGGGAGCACTCACCTGGCTGTAGATCTGGTCCACGCTAGGTCTGTCCTCTGGAGCTCCTCCCAGCACTGCTTCAGCACTCATGTGGCCTGTGATCAGGGGTCACCACCGGCCAGCACAGAGGAGGGGGAGATGCCACCCTCCTGATGATTTCTGCAACAAACACCATGTGGGTGGGCCTGGGGTTCTGGGAAGGGTCATGAAAGGAGCCTGGCCTCAGATCCTGAGAGTGTGGGCAGGGTAGGCTTACAGCAGTGCCAGGTTCTGGGCCTGAGGATATTCCTCAGCTCCTGTGTCCAGGGTATGGCTGGCCAGTGGACGCAGCATTGCTGCTCTCCTGGGTCTACCCTGGGTGTGCCCAAGGAAAGGGTCTCAGACTGGGAGCCAGGAGAACTGCGAGCTGGTTTTGAATTCTGTATCTGCCATCACAATACTAGGGGATGGTGGAGAAGACAATGATCTCTCTGAGCCTCAGTCTCCCCATCTGTGAAATGAGCATAATAAACTGCCTTCTTTTTTCTTTTCTTTTCTGTTTTTTTTTTTTTTTTGAGACAGGATTTCGCTCTTGTTGCCCAGGCTAGAGTGCAATGGCGTGATCTCGGCTCACAGCAACCTCCGCCTCCCAGATTCAAGTGATTCTCCTGCCTTAGCCTCCAGGCATGCGCCACCATGCCCAACTAATTTTGTATTTTTAGTAAAGACGGGGTTTTCCATGTTAGTCAGGCTGGTCTTCAATAAACTGCCTTCCTGAGAAGAGTGCTGAGGTGGAAGACGATGGATGTTAGGTGCCCGGCACCTGGCAGACTCTCCCCCACACTCAGGCCCCACAACAACTGCCGCTACTCTGTTGCCAACGACGACCACCAATGATCTTGAAACCTTGACAGTGCAGCTTTTTCCTGCAGCCCTGCCACTCAGACACCGGCGTGCCGGTTCCCCACAGGTGTGAACGACACTGCCTGCTTATCATTATCATCATCATTATGATCCTGTACTCAAGAAAACCTGGCCACGCGTCATCCTGTCTCCACACCAGCCTAAGTCAGTGTTCTAGTTCTGCTGTGACTCTGAGCCTCAATTTCCCCACCTAACAACTGATGGAAATAACCCCTGCCTCGGGGGGCTGCTGGAGAGCCATGGGGAGCCGAACGATTCTAAAGTAGGCTGGGAGGAAGAGGGGCTGACACCGAGCTCAGGCTCTGGAATCCACAGATCAGAGCGGGACTTCAGATGACCCATTTACGGTCCACACAAGGCGCATCACCTCTCTGAGCCTCAGCTTCCTCACCTGGAAGACGGGCACAACCACACTATGTACTTGCAAGGGTTGTCGCAAAGCAGAATAGGTTAATCTCCTCCGAGGATGGCTGGGATCCTCCTCTCGTGAGTGAGGGAGGTGGGAGCCCTTGGAGCCAGAGAGGAGAAGTTTCTTTCTGGGTTTCAGTTCCCTTCCCATCCCTTTTTGGCCTTGTTGGGGATAGTCCAGGAGTCACCATGCCATTCTACAGACAGGGAAACTGAGGCTCCTGGGAGTGAAATCAGCTACCTACATAGGGCCAGTCAAAAGCAGACACTAGACCTGGGCCTGGTTTGCACCCAGCCTGCACGATCTCCTCTGCCCAGAGGTTCCCAGCCTATAGGCGTTAGACCCTGAGGGCCCCAGAGTGTGGGATCTGGGAAGTCGTATGTGCTTACAAAGGACTGTGTGCTGATGGAACCAACCATACACCACATGCACACATGTACTGCTGTGTTTCAAAGGTATGCAGATGGCACTGTAATGAATACAATACAAACCCATTTCAAAGTGTTGCTGATTTCACAGCAGATTTTATCACTGGGTATGTTCTCAGTTAGTGGATATTAGAAGTCAAATAGTAGCATGTGAGGCTCTAACCATTTTTGACATTAAAATGGAGTCTTCATATGTGAACATGCTGGGAACCCCTGCCCCAGGCCAGGCCAGGTCTCATGCTCCCCTCACTGCACCAGGCATGCTGTCCGCAGCCCAGGCATAGGCATGATTGACGGACAGTGCTGAGGGCTGAGGGAGGAGTCTGAGCGTCCAGCTCTGGCCGGACCTGGCTGGGCTCTAAGAGGGTGCCCCACAGATGACTCCAAGAGATTTTAGAACACTGAGCTTGGACCAGGGATGTCCACCCAATCCCAGGTCCACAGCTTCCCCTCTGAGAAATCCCTTCTCCTCTCTGAGTCTCACTTAACTTTAAAAAAGGGGCGATTAGCTACCTCCCAGGGTTGTCAAATGGTATCATGCACATGAAAGTGCCTTGGGAACTGCAAAGTGACCCCCCCATCCACAGGATCCTAAAGAGATGTTAGAGTCAGGGGGGAACCTGGGACCCCCCTTAGCACGCTCCTAACATCACCTCACAGATATTTATTGAGCTCCCACTCCATGCCAGGCGCTTTGTTTACAGCATTTCACTGAATCCTCACAGTTGTTCTGGAAGGCAGACATCATGGTTCCCATTTTACAGATGAGAAGACTGAGGCTTGGAGCCTAAAAGGGATTTGCTCAAGGTCACGAGGCAAGTTGGTGTGGAGCTGGGCTTAGGTTGGTGTTCCCTGGAGCCTGTGGCTTGAGCCCTGTACTCCCTGAGGCCAAGGAAAGCACACAGCAGGAAGCAGTGGGCCCTAGACTGACAGCCTCCTCACGGGTGGTCAGAGCATTCCAGGCCTGGGTCCCTGCACCCAAAGCTGGACGGAGCGAGGCCTGGAGTGCCTTGCACTGGTGGCATGGTTTGCAGATCCCATCTGGCCAGCCCTTCCCTCCTCAGAGGCAGAGGATGGGGAGGCAGCCGAGGAGTGTTGAACAAATGGTCTGACAAAGCCCCCCTTCTTCCCACTCCTCCACCTCATAAATTTGGGCCTGGAATGCTCATTATTCATGGGGCAGTGCTGTGGTGGAGAAAGGCAGTGGGGCTAGGCCTCCTGTGAGTTAAAGATTATCCATTGGGGTAGGATCTGATGGTGGGCTCAGCTCTGTACTGGTCTGCACTGTGGGCCAAGGTGCCCAGGTGTCTGTGGAGTACCAGGTCCCTGGGACTGGGAAGAGGCAGCAGGAGGATGACAGAAAGAGCAGTCTGGGGTCCAGGGAGCCCGGACAGAGAGCACAGAGGGGAGGAAACATTTCTGGAGTTGGGCCCTGGCCCTGGGGCTGGAAGAGATAAAGTGTGTACAGGCCAGGTGATGATGGGGAAGCAGCCAGTGGTTATCCTGGGGAGCCAGAAGTGTGAGGACAGAGATGCTCTGAAGGAGCCTGCCTGGGCAGGTAACGAAGCCCCCTGGTATTGAGCAGCCTGGCCACATTGGTCACGGGACTGGGGATCTGGCACATTTGTTATTGGATTCCCATTTATAGATGAGAACATTGGGGCTCAGAGAGGGTAAGCGGTTTGCGTAAAGTCACAGAGTAAGACAGTGACACAGCTGGAGTAGGGCTGAGCTCTGTGTAGCCTGTGCTGGGCATGGAGGGGAGGTGCAGTCGGGGCATGAGCACCTACAGGCATGGCGGTGACACTGGGGAGGAAGGCGGGATGGAGATTTTCACCCAGAGCACAACGTCCTTAGCCCCTGGAGTGGGTCAGCTGCTATTCTGGCAGAGTTGCTGAAGGCAGCCCAGCTTAAGTCAAGTTCTCATGGTCAGACTTTAGGCATGCGTGTCTACGTGGTTATTTTCAGGCCCAGATTTCCTGATTGCCATAGAGTTTCCCACTAGTCAGAGACTAGCCAAGGACAGCCAAGGAGGGGGAGGAGGGTGCCTACCTTCCACTGGGAATCCCGAGGAGCAGTAGGGTGGGTCCCGAGGCAGCACCTCCTGCAGGATGATGGCAGTGCTGAAGATGTCCCCTGTGAGGGTGCCCCACCCAGGGCACCCAGGCCCCGGCAGCAGCTCTGCTATCATAGGGCAGGGTCACGCCACCATCACCTACTGACCATCCAAGCCGGGCTGGGCGCATCTATTCTCCCCAATTCACAGGTAAAGAGCCTATAGCTTGCTCAGAGAGGAGAAGCGATCAACTCAAGGTCACCAATGCCAGAGGACTGGAGATTGTCCTCTCCTCCGACCTTACAAACACCTGGTTAAAGAGAGGCCCCAAAACCTACTGGCAGCCCCCTGCGCTGAGCTGACATTCGGGGTCTGGCCAGGGTTGGGGAGCCTGCTGAGTGTCCAGGGGCTCTGCATAACCATGGTCAGTGACCTTGAGCACAAAGGGTCTGTCCACCACACAGTTTTGGGACTTGAGGCAGCCAGGAGGGAAATGTCAGTGGTGCAGATACCTCATGCCCTAAGATGGACATAATGGGGGTCCATTGGATCTGTAACGAATGAGAGGAAACCTGGTTCTCTCGGAATTCCCAGAGGCCCCAGAAAGCCTTCCTGCCTCCCCGTTTACCTGTGGCCATGCTGTTTGGACATCCCTGGGTTAGACAAAGCTGAAAGAGCCCAGCTGTGGGAAATCTGAGCATCTCCTATCTCCCTGTCCTCCCCACCTGCCTGCAGTGCCAGGCCCAGGGAGGGATCTCACGCAGATCAAATCCAGCAGCAGGGAGGCCTTGAAGGTCCAGTCTAGGTGCAGAGCCTCGTTCCGCAGCAGGTTCTCCAGAACCAGAGCACTGACCCCAGGGGTCACGAAAAAGCCCAGTGGCGACGTTCTCACACTGCAGCTCCCGCATCTGTCAGGGAAATGGGCACCTTAGCAGCCCCCAGGGGGCCTTTGAGGGCTGGACCAGGTGCAATCCACATCTAGGCCACCTGCACTTAGCACCAAACACAAGGCTAAGCATGGAGAGGGATCAGAAATGTTGAATGAATGGATAGATGGACAGACAGATGGATGAACAGGTGGGTGGTGAGGGATGGATGGAGGATGGATGGATGAATGTATGCATGGATAGATGGTGGTGGGTGGTGGATGGATAGATAGATGGATGGGTGGGTGGATGGGTGGGTGGGTAGCTGGTGGGTAGGCAGGTAGATGGGTGGGTGGGTGGTTGATGGGTGGATGGGTGATGGGTGAATGGTTGGGTGAATGGGTACCTGGTGGGCTGCTGGGTAGATGGGTGGGTGGGTGGATGGATGAGTGAATGGGTGGGTGGCTGGGTGGATGGATGGGTTGGTGGGTGATTGGTCAGTGGGTGGATGGGCGGTTGGTGGGTCGGTGAGTTGTTGGGTAGGTGGATGGGTGGTTTGTGGATAGGTGGTTGCATGGTTGGTGAGTGGGTGGATAGATGGATGGGTGGATGGGTGGGTGGATGAATGGGTGGATGGATGGATGGGTGAGTGGATGAGTGGTTGGTAAGTGGGTGGTGAATGGGTGAATGAGTCAATAGGTAGATGAATGGCAGATCCCTTGAAGCCAGGAGTTCGAGACCAGCCTGGCAAACATGGTGAAACCCTGTCTCTACTAAAAATATAATAATTAGCTGGGCGTGGTGGTGCACACCCATAATCCCAGTTACTTGGGAGGCTGAGGTGGGAGGATTGCTTGAGACTGGGAGCTGGAGGTTGCAGTGAGCTGAGATCCAGCCACTGCACTCCAGCCTGGGCAAAAGAGCAAGATCCTGTCCAAAAAAAAAAAAAAAAATCTACTCACATACATTGCAAGATGCCCACTGGGAAATGCCTAACTTAACTTCCAGTGTCTTAATCCTTCTGAACTTTATTTCAGACTGTGGTGATATTGGAGATATCAATAAAATTCCCCATGTATTGAAAGCATGGAAGAGTTCTAGGTTATTTCATGTGTTGCCAGGAAGAGTTCTAGGTTATTTCATGTGTTCTCTGCAATCATAATCCCCCAGAAGGTGACTATCACTAGCTCCATTTTACAGGGAAGCTAAGAGTTCTGTGGAGGCAAGATTTCACCTGGATCTTCCTGACTCAAGTCTCATGCTCTGTCTCTGTCCCTCAGTGCCTCTCAGGATGGTGACGATCTTGGGGGTGAAAATGCTTATGTGGTTAGTGATGACAGGTGCTTAGGATCTCCCTGAGGGAGGGGACTTTGTCTCTCTTCTCCACTGTGTATCCCCAAAGCCCAGAACACTGCACATAAGTGCCTGGCACGTAAGTTATGCTCAGTAAACAGCAAATAAAAGAAATGATGGGTGGAGGGAGGGGGCTGCAGGATGAGGTCCCTTCATGATGAGTTGTCATGCGAGGGCATTAATGGAGGGCACTGTGCCCTGGTGGTTATGGGGACTGTGGGTTATGGGGTGGTGATGTGGCTTTAAGGATGCTGGCATGGGACAGTGACAGCAATAGTGAATTACTGTGATTGAGGCACTGGCAATGGGCAGGATCATGATGGCAAGAATAACTTCCTCTTTGAGACCAATCTGGACCAGTAAGGGTCTCCTGAGCAGCGTTGCTCCCCACCCACCCTCTGCGCCCTCTGCAGCCCTGCCTTCCTCAGGAGGCTGAGGCAGCTTGGGCGCAGTTCCGGGTCTCAGCCCACTTCACACTTCTTCAGCCACACCCAGTCTCCCTATTCAAGGAAGAGCAAGAGGTTAGCTGCTGCTGCTCCTCAGCTGTGGGACCTCAGGAAAACCCCTCTACCTCTCTCAGCTCAGTTTCTTCCCCATCAATGCATTCCTTCTGTGTGTTCTGAGCCAGGCACAGCCTGGTAAGTGGAAACATTTGCTATAACCCAGGCAGAGCCGGGAGCCGGGCTTTGGCTGAAGGATTCCAGTTCCAGTCCTGACACCATCACTTTCCAGCTCTGTGACCTGGAGTGGGTGACTTCAGTTCTCTCAGCTGCAGGTTCCAAATCTGTAAAGTGAGGATGATAGCGCCCACCCACATCTCAGGGGCTTACTGAGATGGTAGGTGTCAAGTATGCTGGCCCCTGGTCTACAGATCAGCTTTGCCCTACAGGCCTCAGGCCCTCATGACACCCCTAGCCCTGTGAACTGCTTGGGTGGGGAGCTCTGTGACCCAGGGATTCATGGGGAGGAGAGAAGGGCCGGTGGGAGAGGAGGGGTCTCAGATGGGGGCTCTACCCTTGCCTTGGTCTGGCCCAAAGCTAGCTATAACCCTGGCCTTCTCTCTTCCATCACTGATGGGTTTTGCCTTCTCAGCCTCACCTACAGCCCGTCAGCCAACTCAGAGAAGCAGACAAAACACTCTTTGTACACCATGAAAGCCTCCTTGTAGCAGAAAAGAAAAAAAGATGGAATTCCCTCGGGGGACAGGTAGAGAAGAAGGAGCAAGCAGCTCATGTTGCTTCTGTGGAAACACCTAGCCTGGCTCAGCTACCGTGAGAGTCTTGGTGTCGGTGAATCGTAGCATCCATGAATTGTTGAACTTCAGAACGACAGCACCTGAGAAATGGTGGTATCCCCAGCATCCTGAGATCTCGCTGAGCTCACCTTTGACCGCCCAGCCTCCCTGCCAGCTGGCGATCCCGGCTCTGCCTGAGGCTATCCCGGGTTGTGTGCTGCCCCCCACACATCAGGGCCTGGGAGACCCAGGATCTCACCTTACCTAAGCAGACAGGAGGGTGAACTAGGCTGGTCTTGGTCCCTAAGAGAGGCCCTGGGGTGAACCGCATCGGCAGCACCAAGGGCCAAGTGCCTGGGACCTGGTTGTTCCTTCAGGTCAGGTCATGAACCATGCTGGGCCAGGAGTTGGGGTCCTACTTCCCACTCCTAGCCCTGCTGCCAGTTTGCCAAGTGACCCAGGAAAGGCACTGCTCCTATCTGGGCCTCAGTTTCTCAGTCTGTAACAGAAGTAGGCCATACAGAGGCTCCCTCGGCTTCTCCCAAACTGACTGCCTAGGCCTGGGCATGGGGGTGGCAGAGGCCCTCGCTTGGTACAGGGCCACACTGGTGGGTTCCTGGGGGCTGGCAGACTCTTTGCTGACCCCCGGGCCACTGATCTCAGGCTCCCACCATCTGCCACAATTCCCCATTCATCATTCACATGTAGCCTCTGGAGGGGGCAGGTGTGATCAGGAGCGCACACTGGGCCTCTGTCTACTGTCCGCTCAACTCAGCCCCGGCCCTACCCACCCATCTGTTCAGGGGTGAATGGATGAAGGTGAGCTCCTGGGCTGTCAGCAGGATCTGGTGGCGCCCACACCAGCTGCAGCTGCTGGATGCCCAATCTGGAGGCGAGAGAGGGGGCAGGGCAGTGGGAGTGATGCCATCGCCCCTCCCAGCGTCAGTCTGGCCTCTGACTCAGAGACGTCACCTTTCCTCTCCCCATTTCCATTTCTGTCTCCCTGTCAGTCCCAGCCGGGCCGGGAGGGCACTGAACATTGTCTCCATGCAGCCCCTCTGCCTCGGGCTCAGGTCTGGAACCCCTGGGCCTGATGCATCTGCTGGTCCCCGGTTGCACCGTTCCCAAGTTGCCAAGAGTCCTCATGCAGCAGCCAGAGAGGGCTGGGGGTGGAAGGCTGCCCGCCTCCAGATACGCCTGAGACTCAGGGATGGTCTGGATTCAGGGACGCAGAGGAATGTAGACCCCAGGGAGAACTGTTTTCAAAGCTGGAGGGCCCCTGGGAGTCGTTCTGGCCAACCCCCTCACTGTACAGACGGGAGCCTGAAGCTCAGGGTGTGGAGCACGTCCAGGGTCGTGGGCTTCTTCCTCAAGTCTCAAACGGATCTTCTCTGGAGGCAGCCAGGGCCTTGACAAGTCCCATTTTACTTACAATAAGTTCAGACTCCTTGTGGCCCATAAAGCCTCACCTGCTCAGGCCCCAAGCTCATCTCAAATTCCTGTCTCATCACCCATGACACCTCAGCCACTCCACACTCCCTCCTTCCTTTTCCTCCATCAACTGGAGCTTGCTCTGCCTCAGGCCCTTTGCACTTGCTGCTTCCCCTGACTGGTTGCTTTTCATCCAGATCCTCATCTAGCTGCTTCCTTACCATTTGGAGCTCAGCTCAAGTGCCACCCCTCAAGTGCGCTTCCCTGCCCATCTAGCTCTTGTTGGCCACTACTCTATCCCGCTCCTCTATCACTGTATCCTGTTCTGTTTTCTCGGTGGCATTATCACTATGTGAATTTAGTTATCTGGTTATTTGGTTATTGCCTGCTGTCTCCCCCTAACAGAATAGAAACTCTTTAAAGGCCAGGTCTGTCTTGTTCGCCACTGTCTTCCTGACACCAGACGTAGTGGCACATGAGAGGGACTCAGTCCACATCCGTCAGATGGATGACTGCCTGAATGGCCATCAGCACCCACATCCCTGTCACCACCTCCAGGCACTACAGTCTTCTTAACACCAAGAAGTGGGCATCCCCAGGAGACCCAAGTTCACTGAGTCCTGTAAGCCAAGCCAGGCCAGCAGCTATGTCCCCCACCACTAACACTTCAGATTCACAGCAATGACTAGAGAAAATCCTCCCCTCTCTCCCACACTCCTGCGCTCCCAACACTTTCCCCTTCTGATCTCTGTCATTTGCTAGAGAGATGCAGAGCCAGGAGAGGAGAAATGCGGTCAAGAGAAAGAGCAGCTGGGCCAGAAATGAGAATTTCAGGGACTGAGAGAGCTGGAGATAGAGAAATAGAAGCAGAAGAGATACAGAGGAGCACTGACAAGGCAGGACAAAAAGGTGAGTGATACGGGGAAGAACAGAGACAGACAGAGACGTGCAGGAGTCCCCCCTTATCTGCAATTTCCCTTTCCGTGGTTTCAGCTACCCATAGTCAATCAGGGTCTCAAAAATACTAAGATATTTTGAAAGAGGCAGAAAGACAACATCCACTAACTTGTATTACAGTATATTGTTATAATTGTTCTATTTTATTATTTAGTTATTGTTGTTAATGTCTTACCATGCCTAATTTATAAGTTAGACTTTATTATAGGTATGTGGGTATAGGAAACGCAGCATATATAGAGTTTGGTACCATCCATGGCATCAGGCATCCATTGGGGGTCTGGGAACATGTCCCCATTGGATAAGGGGGACTACCGCAGACATACACATATACATACATAAGCCACCTCATGGTAAAAGCCATATACATATACATATACATATACATATACATATACATATACATACACAAGAAGGAGAAAGAGATTGACCACACCCAGGGACTAGGCAGAGAGATGCTTTGTCCAAAAGAGGCCATGTGCCCACGGTGGAGATGGGCCTGAGCACATGCACCCCTGCTCCTGGGCCCACACTCAAGGCATACGGGGGTCTGCACTTGAAGCATACCCACCTGCTCTGGCCCCAGGTGGGCAGCTGCCTCTCCATCGGGCCAGGCAGCAGCAAAGGCCTTGTCTATGGGGCCAGACTCTAGGCTGAAGGGTGAGCATTGCATCATAGGCCTCTCGCAGGGGCCCACCAGTGCTGAGAGACAGGTAGGAGTGGTTGCAGTAAGGCAGGGAGAAGAGCAGCGTGTCGTAGGGCAGGAAGACCAATCTCCCATCCATCAGGCCCTCAGCCCAGGCACGGCTCAGCAGGGTGGTCATCTCCAAGCCCGCTAGCACTGCCAAGTGCATCCAAGCACCACAACTGGGGACAGAGATGGCAGAGTCACCTTTGCAGGCCCAGTGCCACTGTGGTCTGCCCTGAAGCCCACAGTTCTCTAGCCCTGGAGAGCTGCTCAGAACTCCCGGGCACCCGCTCTGCTGCCACCCCACCCCCACCCCCACTGGTCTAGCAAAGGTAGAATTTTCCTTTAATCTGCCCCATAACAATAACAGCCAAGGCCACCAAATCTGAGTTTGATCTGATGAAAAATATCCCTTTAATGGAGGATAGATTTGTATTAATATGGCCCTCCCGGCCTGTCTGCCCAATCATTTTGACCAGCGTCCTGCCCTACCCAACCCCATTGGCCCTGACAATTGCTAATACGTATTGATGGTTTCTTTCTTTCTTTCTTTTTCTGAGACAGGGTCTTGCTCTGTTGCTCAGGCTGGAGTGCAGTGGTGCAATCATGTCTCACTGCAGCCTCACATTTCTGGGTTTAAGCAATCCTTCCACTTCAGCCTCCAAGAGAGCTGGGATTACAGGTGTGAGCCTCCACACTTGGCTGTTGACAGCTTTCTCTGTGTTGTCCTAAAGAACCTTCTCAAACATTTTGTCATTCAGTGTTACAACAGCACTAAGAAGCATGTTGACCATTATCTCTGTTTTTCTAGAGGAGCAGTTGGGGAGTTGCCCAGGACTCATAACCACCACAGTGGTACAGCTAGAATTTGAACCCAGGCAGGTTGGCTCCCAGCTTATAATCCTTTTTTGTTCTTTTTTAAAGAATTATTTTAAATTGAGATACTCACATATCATAAAATTCATTCTTTTAAAAATGTACAATTAAGTGGTTTTAGTATATTCACCAAGTTATGTAACCATCAATACCATTTACTTATAGAACACTTTTATCACCCCAAAAATAAATCCATTAGCAGTTGCTCCCCATTCCTCTCTTCCTCAACCCCAGTCAACCATGAATCTGCTTTTTGTCTCTGTGGATTTGCTTATTCTGGACATGTCATACAAATGTACATAATACATGGTACTTTGTGCGCGGCTTCTTTTTTTGACAGGGTCTCACTCTGTCACCCAGGCTGGAGTGCAGTGGCACGATCTCAGCTCACTGCAACCTCTGCCTCCTGGGTTCAAGAGATTCTCCTGCCTCTGCCTCCTGAGCAGCTGGGATTACAGGCACCTGCCACCACACCTGGCTAATTTTTGTATTCCAGCTAATTTTTGTATTTTTAGTAGAGACGGAGTTTTACCATGTTGGTCAGACTGGTCTCGAACTCCTGACCTCGTGATCCACACCCCCTTCCCGGGCCTCCCAAAGTGCTGGCATTACAGGTGTGAGCCACCGTGCCTGGCTTGTGTCTGGCTTCCTTGACTTAGAGTAATGCTTTCCAGGTTCGTCCTTATTGCAGCATACCTCAGTACTTCATTCCTTTTCGTGACTGTGTAATACTCACTGTATGATAGACCGCATTTTGCTTATCATCATCCGCTTGTAATCTTAACCTTGGTCCTGAGTGGCATCCTTCAGGTCTAAGTAGACACGGATACATTCATCTTTACCTTAGTAAGAGAAGCAGCCCTGAATAATAAAGCTGCCAATTTCACCCCCAGGCACCAGGACAGAAGAGAGCCCTTGCCAAGGTCGGGGTCCACAATGGACTTCCTTTGCATCTTTTCTGTCTTCCCCGCTTGGGTCCTGACCAGCATGGCAATGACAGCCACAGAAGGGCCACCACTTGTTTGGGATGTGGCCTGGGTTCCCGCTACACTCCCTTTCTGCAGAAAACCCAGGAAGGCTGAGAGTCTCCTTGCTGGAGCCTGAAGACCCCTCATCACATGGACTTCACAGCCTGGAGTCCTGGCTTCAGCTGAGCCTCTGGGGGCCCATACTGTGGGGGCCACAAGCCCACCCCTCCATCTCTTAGATAGTGCCGGAGGTCCTCAAAGAGAGGCCCACCAGGACTGAGTGGAAACAGAAGCCAGGTCTTTGTCCCATCTGCTCTGCTGGGCCAACTTCCCAAAACACCCTTTCTCTTAAGGATTGGAAGCGCTGTTCTGTGTTTGGCCACGCGGGGGAGCTGCTCCACACAAGTCGGGAGTAAGCCACCTCACGGGAAACGCCAGCGCGGGCTGCAAGCTGTGCCGCTGTGTGAAGGCACGGTCCTGAGCCCGCTGTCTGCAGTAGATCAGCCTTGTGCCATTAATGAAGAAACCATAGGACAGAGAGGTCTGGTGACTTGCCTGAGGTCACATGGGTGCCGGATGGGGTGGAGGGGGCGGCAGTGGGACTCCTCTCAATCTGACTCCAGAGAGTGTGCCCCTCACCCCTCTGCCTCCTGGCTCCTGAGAGCCAGCACCGTGGCTGGAGCTCAGTCCCCTGCAGCAGAGGTGGAGGAGGAGTCTGAGGGTCTCCCAACCCACTGCTGCCAGGCTCTGGCCATGCAGAGCCAAACTGTTGATGTTCTCCCAGTCTTCCTCCACACTACCTCCACGCCTTTGCACTAGCTGGAGTGTGCTCTGCCTGGAATGCCTTTCCCTGTCAGCTCCACTCCAAAATCAATTTCTCATTGTCAGGCCCTGTCCAGTGTCACCTCTTCTGTGAAGCCCTCCACGTCTCCAAGCAGATCCGCAGCTCCAGCCTCTGGGCTCCCCTTTGCCCGGCATACACATACACACCTGTCTCCCACCACACTCAGGCTCCTCGTGGCTGGAGCCCAGCCTGATCCTCCCCCTGTTCCCAGAGTACAGCCAGGGTCAGGCAGACTGTGCCCCACAGTAAGAAATACATTTTACCCTGGTAGACTCACGAGGCTGAATGTATAGAACTTGAGTACCTTGAAAGGACATCTCTCAGAACCACTTACCCTTGCTATCTGCAATGCAGTCTCATAGTTACTACTGTTCTTCCTATCTATTTTAGTTTATTCTGCTCAATTCTATTCTTCTCTTTTTCTATTCCACTCTCTTTCTTTTCTTTTCTTTCTTCTTGAGATGGAGTTTTGCTCTTGTTGCCCAGGCTGGAGTGCAATGGCGCGATCTCAGCTTACTACTATCTTCTCCTCCCGGGTAAACAATTCTCCTGCCTCAGCCTCCTGAGTAGCTGAGACTACAGGCACACACCGCCATGCCCAGAGGCCCTGAGAAGGACTTTTTACTCCCTTTTACAGAGGAGGAAACTGTGGCTCTGGGTGGGACAGTGACTTGTCCAAGGTCTCACCAAAACTTAGGACTGAACTTGAACCAGAGCTTGGCTTCCTGCCTCCTAGTCAAAGACAAAAATCACCTCTTTTTATTGACACCTGGAACATCAGAGCTGAAGGAACCTTGGAGATATAAACATCTAAATCAATTCATCTGTGTACAGACAGGGAGACAGGCACAGAAAGGAGTGTGCGTAGCCCTCAGTCCCACAAAGCTGCAGCAGGCTCCCCTGGCCCGAGGTCTTGCTGGCCACGCTCAGTATCCTGAGAACTCTGCAGTGGATGGCCTGCAGGGGCTCACAGAGGGCTGAAGATCTTAGCAGGCCAGCACTGGGTCAAGGCAGGAGCTGGCTTTTAATCCCAGTTCTGTCGCTGATTTATGGGACAGAGTCTACAACCCTTTCTGTGCCTCAGTTTTCCCAGCTGTACAGGAAGAACTTGGCTTAGACATTGAGATTTCCAAAGATCATTCAGCTCTGATGTTCTACATGTTTACAAAAATCCGGAGACGGATGGTTTTTGTCTCTAAAGCTGGCCACATCTCCTCTCCCAACCCTTCTCCCAAGAGTGTGTGAGCCTCTAGTGCCTCCATCTCTGGGCACAATAGACTTATGTGCCATCCTCCTGGGGAGAGACCATTTGTATTTTTAGACTCGGGGAGATGGGCCCCAAAGATTAGCCACAGAGTGCTTGGCTCATAGAGCCAAGCTCCTGGAGTTAGTCAACTCCACAGCCCCATAATCCCCAAAAGTTGAAGATGCCTTTAGCTGCACTAACAGATAAATGACCAAAATAGGGAAGGTGACAGGAACCTGGGGAAGGGGGATGGGGGATTCCTGTCATAGTCAGGGGTCCTGCAGCCCCTGCAGCAAAGGGTCATCCTCCTGTCCCCCAACCTGGTGCCTCTTACCTTCTTCCAGAGCAAGCTCCCCACAGACCGACCTGCCACTCTGCGTTATTGGAGTTGACTCGTTGCCTTTTGGTAGGCCCTAAGGTTCCTGCAACAGGGTCCCCAGATGTCAAGCTCTCAGAGTAGACTCTGGCCTGAGGGAGCCCTTTCCCCCAATAGCTTGTACGATCACCACTCCTCTGCCTGTCCCTTTCTGACCCTGCTCCCTGGGAAGAGCCTCCTACATGGCTCATTCCCTACCTGTCCCTCTCAGGAGCCTGAAGAAGCCACTTGGAAAATTAGATCTGTTCAGACCCTAGTGCTCTGGGGAGCCACAAGCAGGAAGGAAGGAGGGAATGAAATAAAGAGAGACACATAGAGGGGGATGGAGAAAGAGAGGGGAGGTCTTCAGCACTCCGGACAGCTCCAGACCTGGTTGGGGGTGGCTCCCAGGAGGAAGGATGGGCAAGCACTAAAGAAACCCTTATTTTATTTGAACCTCTGCCGTGTGCCAGTCCCTGTGCTAGGCACCATTCACACAACCCATGGAGACAGGCATTACTATTAGCCTCATCTTATAAAGTATGGCCCAGAGAAGTTAGGTGATTTGACCACGGGCCCAGAGCTGGTAAGTGGCAGGGCTGACTGTAGGTCTGGGCTTTGCTCATGGATACAATGTGTAATGATCAAGTCAGGGTAACTGGAATATCCATCACCTCAAACATTTATCTTTTCTTTGTTTTGGGAACATAACAATTCTTCTCTCTAGCTATTTTGAAATACATAATAAATTACTGTTAACTATAATTTCTCTACTGCACTATCGAACACTAGAACTTATTCCTTCTATGTAGCTGTATTTGTGTACCCTTTAACCAATTTCTCTTCATTCCCCTTCTCCCCACTTCCATTTCCAGCCTCTGGTAACCATCATTCTACCTTCTACCTCCATGAGATCCACTTTTTAAGCTCCCACATATGAGTGAGAACAGGCAATATTTGTCTTTCTGTGCTTGGCTTATTTCACTTCACATAATGAAATAGTGGCCAGAAGGGAGGCCACTCCCTTCTGGGGTGAACACTTAGGTGGAGATAGAGACCTCAGTCCATGGGCTCCAGGCCTCCTCTTCCACTTGCTTTTTCCTACGTAGGTGAAGTTAGCTTTTACTAGGTGCACTCAGCATCTGCTCTGTGCTAGGGGTTATGCATACCCCATCTCATTGAACCTTTACAGCAGCCTTGTGAAGCAATTACTGTGTTTCACTTTCTTCATGTCACTTTATTCGTTCAACAAATGTTTACTGAGCGTCCTCACCATGGTTCTGCCAAGGGGCCAGCCTTCCCTCCACCCCACCTCCCACCCCTAATTCCTGTTGTTTCCCTCTTGCTCCCTTCCATGTTTCAGGCACTGTTCTAAACACTTGAGCTACATCAACAAACAAACAAATCTAAAAAAACAAAAAAATAAAGATTTTTCCCCCTCACAGAGCTTACTTTCTAGCAGGGGTAGGGAAAGGTGTGTTAGTAAACAAATAATAAACATAATAACTAAGTAGAAGTATTTTTGGTGTTTGAAAGTGATAGGTGCTATTTAAAAAAGAAGGGTAATAATGCCATGTTATAACTTTGTGGAAGTGTTTTTCGTATTGCTACACAATTGTTATAATTTCAGTGGGCAAAGAACACACTGAATGGATGTGCCATTGGTTAGTATGGATGGAAGGATCTGAAGCCTCTGTGTCTGGTCTTTATTGGGTTTCCCCCTTTATCATTGACCAGGACTGGACAAGAGAGTATTAAATGGCTCCCCAGTTAGTATATGGGGTTCTAGTCATGGTCCTGCCTGTCCCCATTGTGAGGCAACAACCATATTTCCTTGTGATAATTGGAATTGATTACTTGGGCTGATGCAGTAATTCCCTTCTCTGTCCGTTGATTCAAAGTCCTGAGGAGCCCAAAATGGCCAAGCAATAGTTTCAGTTTTCATTTCATTGGAAAAATTACTACATTCTCTGGAGGGAGTGTTTCTCCCCTGGGAACTAGGTGCTCCAAACCACTGAATCCAAGGCCATGGGCACAGGCAGGAAACATTCTTCTGGTGAGTTTGTAGGTAATGGTGAAAGAGGCCACTCCTATCTTTGTTCCTTGGTTCCCAGCCCATCCATTCTGACTGTAGGAAGATGGCCCACTTGGCCCCTAGTATAAGGCATATACTGCATCTTGGAAGCACAGGATGCCATCCCCTAGGTCATTTGGCAACTGAGCTATTCCCTGATGGACCATTCCACATTTCTGTCAAGCCAGATGCTTCTGGGTGATAGGAGATGAGCTCACTGCTTCAGTTCCTTTGCAGTAAAATGCTTCCCCTGGTCAGAGACAATGTTGTGTAGGACAACATAGTAACACATAGGGCACTCTTATAAGACTATGAATGATGGTACTGGCAAAAGCATTGTAGGCAAGAAAAGCAACTCTATACACAGTTATATTTCTATCTCTACAAGTAGAAAGAAAGGCATTGCTGCTTCTATGAAGGCGGAGCTCTCATATAACCAAACTGTCACCAAGTAACTGGCTGACCCCCCAGGGAAGTGGTGCCGGTTTTTGGGCTTAGCAGTGGCCTCTGCTATCTGCAGGTTGGGCACTCAGCTGTGGAAGTAACTAGATGGGCCTTGGTGAGTACAGTTGTCGAACCAATGCAAGTCTCCATTCTGACTGCCACAGCCACATGGCCATTGAGTAAGCACTGGAGGAGCTATGGAAAGAAGCTGACTGATAGCCACAAGTCATCTTGTCCACCTAATCTTGAGGATTTCTGTCATAGATGCCCACTGGTGGGGCATTCATGTGAAGCATGTGTATCTTCACACCTGTGACTGCTCTGAGAGGCCTGTCCACATACCTCATTGACACCAATTTCTAATTTTGTTTACAGCAAGACTGTGGCCATCCAGACAGCCCATTGTCAACTGCCTATGAATCAAAGTAAATAAGTACCACTGGCCCTCTCTCCTTCAGCACAAAATGGACAACTAGCTGTGCCCCCCTGAAATCCTGCCCAAGAGGCTTTCCTTCTGCCACTTGTATGTCAGGACCAGCCTTGATTGGAGAGGTAATGCAGCTGCCATCCATTTCTGGCTGGTACCAGCATACCGTGATATCCACCTGTGAACCAGACCCACACTTCTTCCTCCTCTACCAACTGCTGATGAGAAACTCGCCATGTATGGTTTTGGTATCAGGTATCAGTTGAGGGAGAAGTGGCAAAAAATAAGAGACGGTACTATGGCAGTCTGGGCCATCTGCTTGGCAACATAGAAGGCTTCTATGCATGGCCAGTCTTCTGATCCAGTGAATCAGATAGCCCCTGATTCAGTGGTCAATTCTGGTAGAACAGTCATTCAGTATTCATTATCGTAGTTGGTCTCCACTAGGAGTAGGAGCAAGTCAGAACTGCTTTTCAACTGGATGAAAGTTGTCCACAAAAAAATAATATATATGGCTTTATGCCCAAAGCCTAGCAGTCTATGCTGTGATTCTCCTGTTGGAAGTTGAAGAGGCTCCATGTTGCATCTCTGTCTGCCACAGATACCATGGGGTCTGTTGGGTCATAAGGTTCGGTGGCAGGGCAACTTGCACAAATCTGCTGTTCAGCCCTGGGATCTACTGAAAACTGGCAGCTTTCTGGGCTACCTGTTAAACAGATCAAGACAACACTCCCAAATGTGGCATAAAAGTATGGCAAAAACCACAATTGCTTTTGCACCAACCTAATACATTGCTTCTAGAATCCAAACGGGCTTACCAAGCACTATGTCCCCTTCCATGTGATGTTTGGTACAGCATGCCACAACTTGCTTCTCGCGTTAGAAAAGGTATTCCACTGGGTCCCTAGGAACTTCACCAATATGACAGCCCCCTGAATTTTTGCAAGGTGTACCTCCTTCTCTCTGGCATGTATCACTAGGATATTTAAAATACTGGCTACCTCCTAAACACCAGATCCAATTAGCAAAATGACATCAATATAATGAACCAGCATGATGTTCTGTGGGATACTGAGCTGATCCAAGGTCCCTTTGAGCTCTATTATGATAGCAAACTAGAGACGTAACATAGCTCTGGGAACAAAACAATAAATAAAGGCATCCTGTTGTCCTGCAAACCTCTTTTTCCTTACTGATAGGAATGGAAAAGAAAATATTTGCCAGGCTAATGGCTGCATACCAGGTGTCAAGGGCTGTACTGACTTGATCCAAAAGATAGCTGGAACAGCAGCTTCGCTTGGCATCACGTAATTATTAATACGTTTGTGATAACATACTATTATTCTCTAGGACCCAGCTGGTCTTTGCACCAGTCAGAGTGCAATTGAAATGGGAGTGTGATAGGAATGACCACCCCTGCTTCTCTCAAGTCTGTGATGCAGACGCTAATTTCTGCAACTCCCCGAGGGGGATTGCTTTTGCTGTATTCACTGGGCGAGGGGAAGCTGGGTAGGGAGCTCAACACTTTCCCCCATGGAACCCCAAATCCCCAGGCCAGGGAACAAATCGAGGGATTCTGTTAGTGGTTATATATGTCTACTGCCATCATTCATTCTGAAACTGGGGAGACAACCATAGAATGCAGGCATGATCCCACCGGACCCTCCATTAGAAGGTCTCAGGCCAAGATCGCATGTGTTCCCTGACCTTGCCACTCTTTACCAGTGGCCCTTGGGGCATTTTGGTTCTTAAGGAAAGAGTGGCCCACTGGCCTAGTCTCTAGTAACCTTCTGGATGGCCTGAATCCCTCCTCAGAGAACAGTCACCTTGGTTCATACCACAGGTCCCCCTTGGAGGAAGAGTCGTGATCTATAATTTCCTCAAAGGGACCCAGATTCCCCTCAGTCAAGGACTCTGAGTCTGTGGACGGCTCAGTCTGGGAACCTGGTAAGAGGCAATACCTTCTCCTATAATGACTGAAGGTGGGTTTCCATCTAGCATACTTTGAAGTTTTCTTTCCATGTGTGTCAAGCACATATATGTGCCCCTCCTTTAGTGTAAGAGACTGTGAGGAGGGAGCTGTTACCACACTGCAGCCTTTAGCTGGATCCTGGACTTGGTGCCCTGTTATAGCTTCCTTCCCTGCACCCACATGACATGAGGTACTCCTTCAAGCTGTGGTGGAAGCCTTCTGATGGTCACATGTTCTCAGTTGTATGGTCATAATTTTAAATTTCACATTTCATATACACATGGCTGTGAGAAACAGCCAGGTTGCTTATCTTATCTGATTCTAAGAAACAAAACAAAATAAAACAAAAGAAGTAGCCAGGAGCTTCCACCATGTTCATAAGCAGTCTCATTGCCACTGGGCTAAGTGCCACAGCTGCCTCATAGCCCGAGGTCTGGTTTCTGACCTGCACTTCAGCCCTTGCTCCCACCAACAATAACTTGCTTGCATCCTATTTCTCTCAGCAAGGAGATAAACCCTGTGTTGCACAAATACAGAACCAACCCAACTCCAGAATCCTGTTTGAAGGGTCTGCTTCCTAGGGCCACTTCTGGTATTAGTCCATAGCCGCTCGCCAGGCGCATAGGAGAAGAGGGCATATCAGGCAGCAGGACCAGCATTAGCCAGTGTCTGGAAGCACAAGGGCATGGAGAATGCCAGGAAGAGCAAATGCTTGGTTTCCTGAGGCTGGGACATGGCAGGAAATGAGGCTGGAGGGGTTGGCAGGGGCCAAATAAAAAAGGGCCTTAAATACCAGGCTTGGGAGTTTAAATTTTACCCTAAAGACAAGGAGCAGGTAGCAGGAGGCTCTGGAGAGTTCATGGCTTCATCTGCATTTTTGAGATGTTACTATTGTTGTCTTCACTTCACAGATGAGGAAACTGAGACTCAAGGTAGATGAGTAACTTATACAAGGTGACATCGCTTGTGCAAGTCATGTGACATACACCCTAGAAGCATCTTATCTCTTCGAATTCCTGGGGAGAGCAGCAGAGTATGGTGTCATGCTCTAGTTATCTAATGATGGGAAACTACCTCAAACTTACAGGCTTAGCACATTGACAATTGTTGATTTTGCTCATGAATCAACAATTTGGGCAGGGATTGACAAGGAAGCTTTGTCTCTATGCCATACAGCATCAGCTGGGGCCGCTTGCCCAGAGCAACTTGTAGAGTGCGGGGCATGGCTAGGACCAGGAGGCAAATCCCAGGAATTGGGGGAAGGCTGGCCACCAGCTCCTAGGTCCTGGCAGAGACTGAGTCACAGGCAGAGGGCCATTGCTCTGGTGAGTGTTACCAGGAGACAGGATTGTCCTGGCCGGTGGGGTAGTAAAGGTCCATCAAGGGTGTTAAAGGCCACTCCATCTGTTCCCCAGGAAAATGGAAGTCCTTCACCAAGGAAGGAGTTTTAAGTGGCCTCTATGCCACTGCTGAGACAGGACAGCAGGTTCCTGTGGTATCTCACTCAAGCTTGCACAGGTCCACTGCTGAGTCATTCACTGCTCCCTGCTGTGGAGCGCTCGGCCTGCAGGCTTCTGTCTTTGGAGTTGGGAAACCGGCCTCACTCCAACCTGCACACTCTGGTCGCTGTTCTGCGCTCTTTGCCCACAGGACAAGCCTGCCCCACTCCCCTTGTCAGCCCCAGGTAGTCAGGCAGCAGCAACAGACATACAACACAAGTAAATCACACCCGCACAGCCTTTGCAAACCCAATTCACGTCTCATTCAGGACTGTCCCAGGTGCTTTGCAGTCATTCAGTTGCCACACTCCTATGAACAGGAGAGGCCTTCCCTGTCTTGCTCATCACTGGGTCCCCAAGATTCTGCCCGGCATATATTAGATATGCAATAATCATATGTTGAATTATTAACCCTATTTTGTGGATGAGAGAACCAAGGCAGAGTGGTTATTATTTGCCAAAAATCAGACAGCTCTGAAGTGGCAGAGCTGGGATTTAGAGCCAGGCACTCTAACTCCAAAATTCATGCCTTCAACCCCACTATGTTCTGCTTTTTAATTAACATAATGTCAGCCGGGCACGGTGGCTCCTGCCTGTAATCCCAGCACTTTGGGAGGCTGAGGCAGACAAATCACCTGAGGTCAGGAGTTCGAGACCAGCCTGGCCAATGTGGTGAAACCCCGTCTGTACTAAAAATACAAAAATTAGCCAGGTGTGGTGGTGGGTGCCTGTAATCCTGGCTACTCAGGAGGCTGAGGCAGGAGAATGGCTTGAACCCGGGAGGCAGAGGTTGCAGTGAGCCAAGATCACGCCACTGCATTCCAGCCTGGGTGACAGAGCAAGACTCTATCTCAAAAAACAAAAATTAAAATTAAAAGCCGGGTGCGGTGGCTCATGCCTGTAATCCCAGCACTTTGGGAGGCTGAGGTGGGTGGATCACGAGGTCAGGAGATCGAGATCATCCTGGCTAACACAGTGAAACCCTGTCTTTACTAAAAATACAAAAAAATTAGCCAGGTGTAGTGGCGTGCGCCTGTAGTCCCAGCTACTCAGGAGGCTGAGGCAGGAGAATGGCATGAACCCAGGAGGCAGAGCTTATGGTGAGCCAAGATCGTGCCACTACACTCCAACCTGGGTGACAGAGCAAGACTCCTTCTCAAAAATAAATAAATAAATAAGTAAATAGATAAAAATAAAAATAATGTCAACCATTTCCTCAACTTTTCTTTTTCCAGGAAAGCATTTCCAAACTTTTTTCTTACATAGGTAATAAGAATCACATGACATAAGTGGCACTTGTATATGGCCCTGGAATATAGTCTCATCTCACTGAAGCCTCATCAGAACCTCTACAGCATAAGGCTCAGAGAAACAGTGGTCTTTCCTGCCCTGTTCATTGTGTACCCTCAAAGCCAAGCCTGGTGCATAATATATACACAATTAATATATGTTGGATGAGTTACATTTACGGATGTGGAACTGGGATTCAGAGAGCTGATTGTTGACAGAATCAGTAAATGACAGAGCCCTGATTTGAAACTGGTCACTCTGTCCCCAAAGACTATTTCTACTGCATCATGCTGCTTGGCCTTTCTGGGTTTCAGTTTCTTCACCAGTTAAATAGGAATCCCAAGGCTCCTTAGAGTGTTTGTCGTGACAAAGGATATAATGGAAGTTAAGGTGCTTTGCGAAGAGGAAGGGGACACATGGGTTGAGGGGGGGTCTTTCTTGTTTCCTTCACTGAGGCCTCTGCAGGGCCTAGTGCGGGAGAGGAGCTAGGGATGCTGCAGTGAGAGAGAAATGATGCCTACAGGACATGAGTAAAATTGAGATGGATGGATGGACAGATGGATGGATGAGTGGATGTAGGGATAGCAGATGGATGGATGGGCAGGTGGGTGGACAGATGAATGGACAGATGGGTAGATGGATGGATGGATGGATAGATGGATACATGGACAGATAGTGTCTTAGTTCATTTTGTGCTGCTGTAACAGAATATCACAGGCTGGGTAATTTAGAATGAACAGAAATTTATTTGGTTCATGGTTCTGGAGGGGCTGGCATCTGGTGAGGGACTTCCTGCTGCATCACGACATGGTGGAAGGCAGCTCACGGCAAGAGAGAGCAAGCAGGTGAGGAACTCACAATAACAACCCATTCCTACGATAATGGCATTAATTCATTAATGGGGGCAGAGCCCCCATGACCTAAGGCCTCACCTTGTTAAGGCCTCACCTCGTTAAGGCCTCACCTCCCAATACCTCCACATTGAGGAACAAGTTTCCAACATACAGACTTTGGGGGACACATTCGAACCATAGTAGATGGAAAACTAGATGGGTGGATGGAAGGGAGATGGATCGGTTGGTGGATAAGCGAATGCAAGGATGATGATGGATGGATGTGAAATAGACATTACTGTAGAGTGTGGTCTCAGGCTGGTATTTTAGTCTTTATCCAGCAGAGGGCGCCAAGGCTCCAATAATTGGCCTACGCTGGAGTTTCTCTGCAGTAGAAAGCCACCTGCAGGAGAGCACACCTGAAATCAGAAGCCGGCGCGGCCTGTAGCTTGTGGGCAGCTCAGGCAGGTGATAGGTTTAGGACACAAAGGACCAAGTTAGAGTCCTGGGGTGCAGGGGCATAAAAAACACAGGTTTAGGGCGCGGTGGCTCACGCCTGTAATCCCAGCACTTTGAGAGGCCGAGGCAGGCAGACACTGGAGTCCAGGAGTTCAAGACCAGACTGGCCAACATGACGAAACCTCATCTTTACTAAAAATACAAAAATTAGCCAGGTGTGGTGGCATGTGCCTGCAATCCCAGCTACTCAGGAGACTGAGGCAGGAGAATCAGTTGAACCCAGGAGGCGGAGTTTGCAGTGAGTGGAGAATGCAACACTGCACTCCAGCCTGGGCAACAGAGTGAGAATCCATTTAAAAAAAAAAAAAAAGCACAGGCTTAGGGACAGACCCTGGCATCTCCCTCCTGGAATGGGGCCTCAGGGAGAGTACTTCACACCCTACAGTCCAGATCCCTTTTGGGGAAATAAGTGCGCCTTCTGGGCTTGTGGTGAGGATAAAATGAGATGCACGAGAGGGAAAGTTTGGTATGCTGGGGGCCCTTGACATAGGTCAGGTATCTGAGTCTGAGGGACTTGCATGACTTATTCTAGGCCACCCAGAAAGTGTGAGATGAGAAGTAAAGACAGTCTCTGAAGCTCCAAATGAGATTTCTATTAAAATAGAGAAAATTCTATTAGAGTAAAAGTGGTTCCTGGGGAATCAAGACAATTTGTGGGGTCGGGGTTGCGGCTCTGAGGCTAGAGACGATTGTTGGAAACCCTGGGAGGCTGAGTTACATCCTGAGCCCATCCTGCCGCCTGGGGCGGATACCAAATATGCACTTAGCACCCGACCAGGAGCCCCAGGTGCAAGCCGATAATGTTGGAAATTATCATTTTAATGTGAACTTGACTTGCACCTCCCACAGTGACTGGATGTGAATTTGCCATCTTAACACAGTGTTTCAGGAGGCTGAGTTTTTCCTTTGGCGTTTATTCTATGTGTTGCTGTCACTCCTGGTCCCTGCCAGGGATTTATCTCAGGGACCAAGCCTGGTTTGAATTACTTCAGAATGAGCTTGTCGGCAGGCAGCATCCTGTAAAAGAAGCCAGGCCCAGTTCCAGACAGCTTCAAACAATAAGCAGAGAAAGCCAATCTCAGGTTTCCCGGAAGCAAGTGGCTGTGCTGAGTGGAGGGAGGGTCCAGCCCAGAGCACAAAACAGCAAACTGGCGTTGGATGGATAGCTGCTCCCCTGGCTTGGTGAGTGCCAGCCTGGAGACTGGGAGAGGGACCCAAATTTGGGAGGCAGACAGTACTTTCAGTTTGCCCTTTTTCTTCTCATAAGGCAGCGTTCAGAACCTGCTGAGGAGCTGCAGGCCAGTATAGCCTTGAGCAGGACAGACCCACTGTGGTCTAAACCCACTCCTGGTGGGGCTGCCGCCTGAGACCACCTTTGTGTTTCAGCTGCCCCCAATGTGGTTCACCCAGAGTGAGCTAACACCCTCTGCCACCTGGAGGGTTTGCCTCCTCCACCTGAAACACTTGGCCCCAGCTCCCTGTCCTGGGCTCAAACGTGGTCTTTGCATTCATCCCTGATAAAGTTCCCCTGGGAACATTCCGCTCATTAGTCCGACTTGTTGAGTCTCATGCCTTCGTGCATCTGTGGGCTCAACGTTTTCTGATCTCCTGCTCTGCGCCAGCTCTGTTTTTGATACTGGTGAGACAAAAGAGACTGCTATAACCTGAAGGGAAAGGCAGAGGTTTGCAACCTGGTGGAGGGTACGAGGCACAACAGGAGGTGCGAACAACCGGCTTTGGAAGGGGATCCTGTGGTCTGGCAAATCCTATCCCCACTATCCTCGTACATGGTGCAGGTTGATGAGCTTGCCCTCTGTGACCTTATCCCAATCTCCAGCTAAGTGGTGGAGTGAGACAAAAGCAACAGAGGGCAGGCTGGAGAGGACCTGCCACTGACAGAGAGCCAGCAGCAAAGAGCAAGGAGCAGGTGGAAGAACCCAGAGACCTGTGAGCAGCACTGCAATGAGAAAGGGAGTTGCATTTGTCAGCGGAGCTCCTGCCAGGATCCTGGAGGGCAGCGGCTGAGAGTTTGCAGTCTAGTGCACTGTCAAATTATTCTTCATGGCCCCAGTGCTATTCCACA